AAACTTTTATCGAGTATTTTTCGGCGATATCTTAAATTTTTTCTTATTTATTCTTGTTATAATTCTCCAAAATATTACATAGAAAGACTATTTTAATATCCAAATTTTGTTAAATGATCAATAAAAAACTAAAACTTTTTGAAACAGGATAGTTCTACTTGCGAGAAATCACTTTTAAAAAATTCTAGCGAATTGAACGCTATAATTTATAGCTAATTTATAAAATCGTCCCGTATGACTTCAAAAATTATTTATTTTAACAGAAAAGATTAATAATAAAAGCGAATGCGAGACTATAGCCAAATAAACAGATAAATTAAAAATTTAATTTATATAAAAATATCAATATAACAAATATAAGAGATGAATTAAGATTTTAGAAATTACGTGAATAATACGAAATGCATAATAATAACATGCAACTCTTGCATCAATTCTGCTTCATTCTTTCATGGTTGCTGTTGCTTGTTGTTTGCTGTTTGTTCAATGATTGTTTTCTATAGATTAACATAATTCCATGTGACACATGCAGATACAACATTGAAGGCAATCGATCGATGTTCAAAAAAAGATAATATATTTTTTATTTCATCAATTCGCCGATCCACATGAATGGGCAATATATTTTGTTCATTTTCCGTTTCGTTTTAGTCACGGCCCTGAACCAGCAGAGTCAATCTATCGTATTCATCGAGCGATTCAGCGGCTTTCAATTGCGTCGGTCAGCCGTGTCACATTCTTTGCATATTTTTTTTGAATCGTTACACCAAACGAGAGATTTTTCGCGCATGCGCAGTAGTGTGTAACAGTCACGTGTCGCTCAGTAATGTGCGTATTCAACTGAATGCTTGGTATTTTTGGATCCGATTATGAATATTTAAAAAATAACAAGATATAAAATAAATAAGATATAAAATACCTTTAAATTGTCTCTAAGTTAAACTTAATTTATATGTTTTGTTGTGACAAAATATATTAAATTATTCCATCTACTATGTCAAGATATCATGGGAATATTAGATGTTGCAGTAATAGACAGACTGTGAGGAATTACCATAATTTACAACAAATAGTATATTAAAAATATAATTATATGCTTCCATAACTTGCAATTATTTTATTTAATTTCATTTAAAGAGCTTAGAAAGATTACAAAAAAAGTACGACGAATAATAAGAAAAGATATATATGTTAGAAATAAAAGAAGAGATCGAATATTTCTCGTTGGATCTAATTATAAATTCGAGTCTGTTGCAGCAGTCACGTGGTTCTCCAGAGTGACGGGGACGATCGAGTGGTGGGAAAAATCACTTTATCTGGCATCACTGCTTTCGCGGTAGACGTTTCGAGTGCCGAGCGGCGTTTCCTCGACGATCGACGTGCACGTAGCGGTTAAATTGACACGCGTGCAAATCCGCGGAACGCGACGCGGGAATTCCCGATGGCGATGGACTGGCAATAATCATCGGATCGCGATCAAGCCCGTGATCGAACGTTCATCGTTCTCGATTGCGGTGTGATTTCCAGCTTTCCTGTACTTCGCTTCTGGCGATCCTCTAAAATTGCCAGTTACAACGTATAGCATAAAGTAAGAAAGCCATATAAAGTTTCTTTTGCAAACCTGTAGCATATTAAGTTTTGCAGTTATATTAATTTTCGTCATCAATATAATCTTTATCAACTTTTAAACTTCAAATACATGCGTATATACATATATATAAATCATATGTATATAAATATGCAAATACATATATATATTTTATACACAATATATATGTATATAAGAGAGTACATACACATATATATAGATTTTAAAATTAGAAATGTAATAATGTGGTTAAATATAAAAAATATTTATATTTTGTACTTTTTTACGTACGTATTTATATTATTTTATATTTACAATTTTTATATTTAATCTTTTCTGATTTCAACATCAAGGTATCATAATATTTCCGGTTATATTTATATACATTTCAATGATCGAAATCAGGTCGTCGTCATCGATAAACATTCAAGGCTGCATTTTATTCTGACTATCTGAAATTGCCATCTATAGAAGCTTATATATATAATAAAATTTGTATTTGTAATTCTGGAACAATTTTTATAATAACGTTATTATACTGTATTTTATCGCAATGCGTTGTACGTGTTGTAATCAAGCAAAATTGGTGAAAGTGCACCACGCAGAAATGTACAGCTATAAAACTGTAAAAGATTAGCAAAGCTAAGAAATAATCGTGTGAGATTCTCAAGTACATATTATAAGGATGACATGTTTCTATGTTTTTTTCTTTTCTTATAAAAACTCAATATAAATTTGCATACTCTAAAAACCTTTGAAATCTTATTTAAAGGATCTTCTTTAGATATTTGTCCTTTTTTTCTAGACACTTTTTAAGACGCGATATCACTTGTACAATACATACTCATGCGTATGTGTACACAGTGAAAGAATAACTAGAAGCAATGTAAACCAGCACGGAAATCGATCGAACCCCATTTTATCAGGCTTTAATGCCGGTTACGTGAGTAATAATATCGTCATTTTTATCGCTTCGCTCGTTTAGCAGAATTCATTTTAAAGTGATAACGCGGTTTGTGCAAAACGAGGCGTAGCTTGTACTACAAGAATTTCTAACATTTCGTCTCTCTCTTTCTCTCTCTCTCTCTCTCTCTCTCTCTCTCTCTCTCTCTCTCATCTAAAATATAAAAAAAGAAATATAATCTTAAGGCTAATTTGGACGATATTATATGTATATGTTGTTTGGTTTATTTACATTCAAATCTAACAAATTTTATGATGTAATTATTTTCAAAATTCTTATATTATTTCTTATATTATATATATAATGAAATTCTATTTTTAACATTACATATTTTTAACATGTAATAATTTCTCCTTAGTTTAATAAATATTTTAATTAATTTTATATTTGTTTCTCTCTCTCTTGCAAGAACTTTTAATAATCTCTTTAAAAATTGGAACAATATATATTTTATATATCTAATATTCTTTTTTGCTTAATATCATTAATTTATAATGATTATAATGTAATTGTATTACTTATTTTTTACATTTCATAAATAATATAACAATTTACAATATGATATTAAGCTTCAAAATTTGAACTTTTAATTATTACACTTTTAGCTGAATCTTTAACCCTCTATACACTAATTACCTGAAACAAATTACCTAAATAAATTATTTGAAAAATTTTTCCGGTTTCTATTTAAAAGAATTATATATACAGGGTGGCTCTGAACATTCCGGCCAGACTTTAAGATTTTATAGAAAATTTAATTTTGAACAAAGAATTTCTTATAAATATAAATCGAAAAATGCTTCCTTAAAAAACTAGTGCTTAAAAATTTTTGAAATTACGAAATTATTTTATATTTGAAAGATTTTCTCAATTCTCTACAATTTTTGTTTCAATATTTTTTGTTAAAAAAAGTATACATTCTCTGATATGTTAAAAATACAAAAAATAATTGTGATTTCAAGATTTTTTTAAATCTTTGAAATCATTAACTTCTCAAGGAAGTTATTTTTTGACCAATGTTTATAGGAAACTTTTTCTGAGAATTAAATTTGCTATAAAATCTCAAAGTGTAGCCAAAACCACTTTGGACCACACTATATATATAATCTATTTTTGTATAATCGATTTTTATAATAAATAATATGCAAAATCTTTTGAAATAAATGTTATAAAATTCCGTCTAAATGTTTCAAGTGATGAGCTTCATAGCAAGATATTTTTTTATGTGTTAATTATTAGACTTGTAATGAACGAATAATAATTGCCCCTCACTGCTCGAGTAAAGGAAACAGACAATTCTTTATTGCTGCCATACGGCGTTTTTACCGTTATACATTACGCAACTTCTTCCTCGAACAGACGTGTGATATGCATGTACTATTGCATCGTCATGCGTCGCACGAACTAATATGAAAAAGCATTTCGAACAAAGCCGAACGACTTCCGCACGAAGAAAAAAAAAATATTTGCAAAATCGTGACAGAAAATGCATCGGTAAAGTCCGGAAAATTGTATCTTGTCGTTTTTATTCATATTTTGCGAATATAGTTGTTGTACTTTGGATTGTTTCGGATTATCGAATTAACCAACAAAAGTTATCGGTAAGGTCGCTTCCTTTATCTATAATTTATGCGTTTTTTGTTGTTTTGTTGTTTGATATTTGACATAATTGATATAATTATATCATTTACTCTCCCAATAATATTCTTAATAATATATCCACAAGCGGTTTGACGATACTAAAGTCCAATTGCAAAAAGAAATGAGATTTTGCAAATGATGACTAGCACACGAGTTGATATACGGTTGAGTCATACATACTTGTTAATACATACCACGTATCGCTATATCCGTAGATAGAAACCAATAATGGAGTCTTACTTCTGAAGCAACTGAAGAAATAACATGTTTAATTTTTAATAAATTTTCTAATGCAATTCCACAATTTTATATTTGTTCATAATATAGGGATAATTCATAATATAGAGATAATATTAATTTAAAATCTAAGATAATTAATTTATTTTTAAATTTGCAAATATAGAAGCATCACGCAAAATTATGTAATTTTTGTATAGTTTGGCGTCGCGATGTTACCATTGGTGTCACTTCTTATGTAGATTACATGCGCGACTTATTGTTAAAGCATTGTGAAAAAACGTGCTTAATTTGTAATGAATTTTTTAATCCAATTTCATAATGTTATATTGCTAATTCAAAATATGTAGACATGATTCAATTGCTTTATTTATTTTTCAAGTGTCTAAATAAAAATGTAGACAAAATATATTTTTGATATTTGTATGTCGCAACGCGGATTGTTTGATATAAAAAATAATAATAATTATTTGATATAATAACTACATACAACTATGACTTGTTTCTGAAAAACAATTCAAGAAACAATATTTAATTTTTAATAAACTTCTTAATCAAATTAAATAAATTTACATTTACTACTTCAAAACTCAGCAAGAGAGACAATAGTTTTCGATTTATTTTCATTTATACAAATAAAAGTACATGTATTATATAAACTATTATACGTGCTTAAAATGATCACATCATGTATTGCGGGATAGTTTAATTGTTAGCCGAGAATACAATTAAAACATTGTTGAGGCGCAAAGTATATTTGAACCCCGATAGTGAAATGGTTTTAGATTTACGAATATTAGCTCGCGACGTTTCAAGCAATCGACTTTATTTTGTGTTCTTTATCCACATTGCATCGTACATTGTTGATTGTACAGCGCTTATCGTCAATATATGCAAAGAAATGTGTACTTCATGTATTTCATATGTATTGCAAAAAGCTTCTATGTTTCTGAAGCGAGATACGATCTGCCTTATTTTTTCGTGCACTATTGTACAACAACAAAGATGGACATCTGGTAATTTTCTGCGCATTTGTAGACGGAGCAGACACAGCTAATGTATTATTTTGCAATGAATGCAATATGCAAATTTTTTTACGTAATATTTTATGCACGACGTAGAATGCGCGAATTTAGAAGAATTCAGAAACACGAAAATCTATTTATATACAATATTTCATAAAAAGTCTATATGCAATATTTATATTTGAGCATTAATTAATATACTTGAGTTTCAAATTATTAATCCTTATTCTTATCCATCATTGTTTAAAAATTTCTTTCAATAATTATTTTCAATAATTATTTCAAAAATTATTAAGATAATCTTGTGATATATAGCAAAATTGTCAAACTTATGATAATTAAATTCATAAATTATACATGTATATATGAATAATTTTATTAAATGATCTTGAATAGGAATTTTTATATTGCATATTAATATTTTATTACATAATACTTTAAACATAAGTTATTTTAAATACTACTATTTTTATGCTTGAAGTCTTTAC